TGGGGCTGGGGCTGGGGCTGGGGCTGGGGTTGAGGAAGGCTGGGCTGGGGGCAGAACTGCCCCTACAGCAGGGGCCGCTCCTCTTCCTTCCCCTCCAGCTTCCTGCAAGGTAGAGGCGGCTGCATTTGTACCGGCTTGGCGGGGCGGGCGGTTTGTGGGCCCCTGCTGCCCTCTGCAGGAAGCATTAGGAAGCACAGTCACCCGAGCCCTCAGCCTCCACTGCTGAGACTACAAGTGGCCCGGAAACCCGAACAGGGTGGCGAGAGGAGCCTGGCTCCGGCGCCCCGAGACAAGTGTCCTGCATCCTGCACCATCTCAGAGACCTCGCTTTTCCCTGCCTCACACTGGTGAGGGCACAAGAGTACCATTTCGTAGCTGAGGAATGGGCAGAGGTACAGCTGTGCCCAATACCGGATGCTAAGCACAGAGCTGGGGGCCAGGCCCCCTGCCCTGCAGTTCGGCTGATTCTCGCTGGCACTCAGCCTGGGTCCCCATGTGCTTGCTGGTCCACTGGCACCAGCCCGTTAGACCTGTCCGTGCAGCTCTCTGTGTGGGTCCCAGAGCCCGCCCTCAGCGGACAGTGGCTGCACCAGCTACCACTGGGCACCAGACTTCCCTCCCTTTCTAGCTGCTCAGCTCCCACCCGGTCCAAGACTAAACACCACCTTGGGGTTGCAAACCTCTCCTTTTCCCCGGGGGCGCCAGTCACAGGGAACCCCGGGACCTCCAAAAGCAGCCTTCCTTAGGACCCACGGGGCCCTGGGACATGGCTGGATTGTGGGGCTCCATTGGATGAGGTCGTGGCTTCTGCGCTGGGTCCACCGGTTGGGAAGTGGCGACAGCATGGACGCAGGAGGCTGCGTTCCTATCCACACGTCTTCCTGTCTCTGCTTCCTTCCGGACACCAGGTTCTCCACCCAGGCCCCTCCTCCATGCCAGGGGCCTTGCAGCCAGCCTACCACGGGGGAAGCCAAGAGCCGCAATAACCCTCCCTCCTAGTTGCAGCGGTGGGTACATTGTCCTGGGGATGAAAGGTAACCGAGGAGCGCCTCCGCGGGGCAGCAGGCACTGAGAGGTGGGTATGGCTCTGCCCACCGCTGATGTGAGCAGCTGTGGGCTTGTCGCTTGTCCCCTTCCCACTTAATGCCAGAGAAGTGCTTGTCTCAGAACAAGGCCAGGCGACCTGGCCAGACCTGTCCTCCACACATCATGTGGCCACAGAACCAACAAGGAAGCCCCCGGCAGGTTCTGCAGGAGGTTTTATGCCACCAGCCACCTCTTCCCAAGGGACAGAACTGTAGGCAGCACCTTGGGCTGGACCAGAAGGTGCAGTGCAAGAGCTGGGGCTGGTTGGCACAGGTGCAGGACAAACCCTGCCTGGCAAAGCTAGCCCTGAGGCTATGAGAGCCAAAGCTTGGGATCTGGAGTCCACAGTCCAGGCTGGCAGACCACAGAGCCTTGGGTTTAAGTGAGTGACCCTTCTGTTGGCACTGAGGGCCAGTGGAGATGCCAGTGAGGGAGGAGGCGGCGGGGCCCTGGGCCTGCTGCTTCCAGGAAAAGGCGGGCGACCTGGCAGCAGTGGGTCTCCAGGCTGTGGTACTATTGTAAATCCTAATGAGCAGATTCCTGCAGCACTTGCTCTTAGTTTCCCCAAGCCGCTCCAGCCAAGTTGTGAACAGCAGAAGGACTGAGTCAGGTTTTCTTATTCTTTTCAGGCAGGGAGAATCCTTAGCTCATCATTTACCCACAAGCTATGTGCACTGCACAGCCCAGCCATCCTTCAGCCAGGCCAGGCCAGGCCAAGCAAGACCTGTACCCAAGTGCCCCGGTTGATTCCTGTGCTCTTGGACAAATAGCAACAACAGTGTGAGAACTAATGGAGGAAGGCATGGTGGTACACATCTGCACTCCAGCACTTGGCAGTCTGAGGCAGCAGGATTTCAAGTTTGAGACCAACTGGGGCTACACAGCCAATTCAAGGCCATGAAGAAGAGTGTGGATGGCAACAAAGGTGGTTTTATTTTTTTTTATTTTTTTTTATTTTTTTTTAAATATTTATTTTTATTTATTACATTTATTTATTGTGTGTGGCCAGCTCAGCCCACCAGGGGGCGGGGCTGGCTGGCATGTGGTGCTGGAGGATTGAACCGTGGTCCTTGTGCTTTGCCAAGCTTGTTTCAAGTAGGTACTTTAGACCACTGAGCCATCTCTCCAGCCCCAACAAAGGTGGTTTTAGTTACTCTATTAGTAAAAACCCTCAGTATGAGGTTTCCGCGCTCCTCGGGCAGGCTGAGGCATCCTGTTGTGTGGGCCACACTGAAGTGGCCAGTCCTGTGCAATCTGTGGAGTGAGCAAGCATGAGTGTCAGTGTTTCCATTATAAACTGCCTTGCTCCCTCCAGGATCTGTAACCCAACTGTTCAGTAACCCCAAGCTGTGGACTGGCAGACTCTCTCTCTGGATGTGGGTGTGGCCAGCTGTCTCCCCAGGTCTCACACTGGGGAGACCATGGGCTGCAACCTGTCACTGCTGGGCCAGGGAGCTGTCACCCTCAACAGCTTGCTGGGCACAGAAAATCTTAGAAACCTGTGGTGTCAAGGCCTGGAAAAAACAACACAACTGGCACTGGCCGGGGGAAAAAGCTCTACAGTAAAAGGCATCTCGGACGAGGCTGTCAAATTTCCTGGACAGGACCCAGCACTGCACAGGAGGGAGGCAGGCCAAGGCGGCTCACACGGAAACCAAGGCAACATGGTACCCGCTGCTAAAATTCCTTAGTAACACTTTTTAATATACAAGAATCAAAAGTACAGCAGTTTTACAATGTAGGAAAATTTAATACATACTATATAAACAACATTATTTACATCAGAAATCACTAGGACAGTGGCATTTTCACAAATATAAATTAATTACTGTTAAAGTCAACAGGTTTAAAAGTCCACAATTTTACAATAAAGAACACCACCTGTCCCCAGAGGGGCACAGATGGACTAAAGCAGCCTGGACCCTTGGCATGGCTCTCCTCGCTACGCGGCCACCCCTCCTGCTGACACGTGGATTTGGTCTGTAGGACTTCTGCGTCATAGTGGGAACTCCCAATGAACACCCAGCACCTCAAGGCCTCTGCAGGGCAGCAGGAGGTGTCCGCTGTCCCTTTGAGGGGCTACGGAATGACTGAAGGGAGAGGAGAACAGGCCAAGGGCCATGAGGCCAGCTCCCCAAGGGCGCAGCATCCACCTGGGCCTCACCTTGTCCTGTCCTAGAGTTAGCGTGCGTCAGGCCCATCCTTGTTTACCGAGGCTGTTGGTAACGGTAGTTCCGTCCTTGCTCAGCCCACTCTGCCTCCAACAAAAAGGCGAGCGCTTAAAGCCAGGCTCCACAGAATACAGCCTCAAGCTCCTGGGCAGCCACCCCCACTGAGAAGTGAGAGAACTTCTGCCCGTGCAAACTTCGGTTGCGATTTAAACACATGCTAATCACACTGATTAAATCAATGAGGAAGTGCTGCCCTCTGACCAGCCCACTCTTCAGACACACTTCAACACCCAACACAGATGTTTCCTGGAATACACTGTGATTCATAATCAATGTAACACTGCTCTGGCTGATACTGCCTCCTGCTACATCTTATGGCACTAGAGGTCCTGAATGTGAACAAAGGGAAGCTCTCTTTCCTCATGATGAGACATCTTTGGGAATAACTTGCATTTCCTATCAACAACTGGAGAGAAAAGCCTTGCTGAGTCGGTGCAACAATCAGGGGCCCAGCAAGCCAACCTAGCCTTGCTTTGGTTGGGCTGGACGAGCCGGGGGTGGCAACAGCAGCAGCAGCAGCAGCAGCAGCAGCAGCAGCAAGAAGCTCCACCTCTGGTTTCCTTTGCACCTTGTGCCAAGGTGGAGGCTGAATTCCCCGCCTCCTCCAAGCAGTTGCTGGGCTGGGCTGCAGGACATGAATGGATAGGGAAGGCCCAGTGACCCAAGGACCTCGCGGCAATAAGGGGTGCTGGGTCTGCCGGCCCTCAGCGCGAGCTGCAGAGACCCGGGCTCCCACGTAGGAAGCCAAGTAGGGAGCAGCAGCCCAGCCCCCCACACGAGTCCTGGGGAGACATTGCCAGCAGGTACTAGTGGAGGCACCAGCGGTGCTGCCCAGGGCGAGGCCTGCAGAGCCTATTCATGGGTTTCACCCTGTACATGCCCAGGAAGGGCTTTCCTCAGTTTGGAGTCCGGCTACTCAGAGGCACACTATTGCTTACGTTTAAGTCAGTGTTTCTGTCTCCATCTACAAAAGCTTTGGATGCTTTAATACTGGCAACCTGTACTGGAAATGAATTTTTAGAAGGCCCCACGCCAGGAAGCTGAAAGGAGCCTGCTTCATAATGCAACCGCCCAGCCCCCAGTCCCGACTCAATCCAACTCCCACAGGAGTCTAACCATCTGAAGTCTGCTACCCTGGCCTCGGATGCTTTCTATCTGTGAAGTATAACATAGGCTTATACTTTACAGCCCTTACTCTAAAAGAAACGGGACCTCCAGGTAGCGGTGGGAGCCTGCTCTCCCCACAGGTAACTGACTTGTCTGACCAGCCTGTGAATACCAGAAGATACATGATTCTTTCAGTCCATATCTTCAAGCGGTGCAAGGAAACTAAACTAAGACGCAGCTGCAGCCAGTGGCCTACTCCAATACTGAAAGGCCCCTCCCTCCTGTTTGCACTCCTTCCCTCCCAGGGTCCCTACTCCAGCTGTGAGCAGCTGGCTGGCTGGCAAGCCACCTCTGCTTGCACTTTCCCTCCCTCAACGCAGGAGCTTCTGTCTGCCAGGGATTCCCGTTCCCTGGCCACAGCACCCTCCCACCCCAGGCCCCACCACTGCCGCATCAGCAAGCCCCACGCGGACACACACTGCCTACCTCACAGTACTCCAAAGCCCCAGGGGACCCAAGTCTCCTCAACAGGGAAAAAGGAAGCCACCCCGGAGACCGAAGATAGCACAGGAATTAGTGTCACAGGGAAGAGGCGAAGCAGAAGGGCTTCCCTCTCGCTCTCGCCCTCGCCCTCGCCCCCGCCCCCACTCCCACCCCCATAGGTCTCACATGTGGGCAGAGTGCCTCACTTCTCCCAGAAACACACTGGAGGGGTGAACCTACTCCCCCTCAAGTCCTAGATGTGAGACCCACCCTCACCCCAGCCCCCCGCCCCATCAGCAGCATCTGTTACATCATCGTGAACCCATCACATACTGTCCAGCAGGTCTGGCAGCCTTCATGCACCAGTGCCTTCCCCTGACCACTGTGAGGTTCAGGGACACTGAACCTGGCAACAAGACATTCATGACTCAAGGGATCCCCGATCCCTTCACTGGAGAACAGCCCAAGGAAGCCGGGATGCAGAAGTTGCCATCCTCCTAGCACCCATGGAGGTGGGAGGCCTGAGCTGGGCTGGAGTTGGGTGGGGGCCGAAGAGCAGGAGCGGTGCTCAGACCAAAGTCGGCCACCAAAGGCCTCCCACTCCCTGAAGTGCTCCTTGGCCGGCCAGGACTGGCAGCAGCATGTCTGGAAGCCCCACCCCGTCCCGAAACCAGCCACCAGCCAAGTGTCCATGCTTGGTGACTCCTGCTCTCCCCTGCCCAAGCTGTCCTTTATGTTTTCCGAATGTTCCAGTTATAATCTGGATTGTTTTTCTGTTCTAGTGATCTCTCCAAAGGAGACCTGTGATCCAGGGGGGACTTAGAATCATGAGGAGATTTCTGAGAGGGGGGTGAGCGAGGATCCGAGCCTGCAGGGTGGAGTGGAGGCAGTGGCTGTTTATAGTCCCCCAATTTGTCTGTGTGGAAAGAGCGATAGTGGTCCGAGGGTCCCTGGCCATGGTAGCCCATCGGGGGGCGGTGATCAGACATTCGTCGGAAATCCTGCAGGTGGTAATTTTGAGGCCTAAACTCATCGGATCGCCTCCGCTTGGAGTCATGATGATGTCTGAAACAGAGATACAAGGATTAGCTGAGCATCTGAAGCCACATTTTCATCCACCTTTTTTTTTTTCATGTGGTACTGATGAATGGACAGCACTAATACTCAATGGACTAGCAATCAAAAATTAAATAAATGAAAATAGGTGCAGTGGCACACGCTGGGGCAGGAGGTCTGCGTTGAGTTCCAAGCCAGCCTGGGCTACAGTGAGTTCAAGGCCAAAAAAAGTTGTAACGAAGTCATTTTGTACATACTGGCAAAATACTTCACCTTGCGGCCAGTGTGTTCCCTCTTGCACAGTGGTCACCTTCCCTCACACTGTAGGGGATGTCTTGTCCTACTTTTACTTGGTTCAAACTTACTCTTGCAGAGCCTGTTTCTTTTCCTATTTTCAATAAATCTTTGTTACCATTAAAAAAAATACGTCTAATGAAATGACATAGAATACATCAAATCTATAGTGATAACAAGTATAAATGTAAACAGTTACTTTTGATCTGTAAACGCTTTGTCCCTCTTAGAAAATAAAACTAAATATTTTCTTAGCCTTAAACCAATCTCAGGAGCCAAGACTGACAGAAATTATTTTCTGTCAGTTAGTAAGTTAATAGTAACAGCAAAACCCACAATCAACAATAAAGATTAAGGGCCGGCCACATAGTTCAGCAGATTAAATGCTGCGCCGGCCCCACTGCTAGGGCACGCTGAGACAGTGACAGAGAGCGCCTGTAATCTCAGCATTAGGAAGATCACTACAAGTCCGATCTGTGTAGGGAGACCCTGTACTGAATACCTGAAAAAAAATAAAGTTTAATAAAATTATTTTTAAATTGGTGTTCAATGAAAAGAAAATTCAGATTTTTAGCCTAGAGCCCAATAAACTTACTATACCATTAAAGTATAGTATGTATAACTTAACAGAAAGATGAACAACCTAACTTAAAAAAAAAAAAAAAAGGACTTGAATAGATAATGCTCAAAAAAACCCAACCACCACACAAATGGCCAATAAGCCCAGGACACAATGCCCAACATCAACAATCAGTAGGGAAATTACATCAAACCTATGATGTTACCCTTGCACCTTTTTTAAGCAAAGATGTCCCCTTTAATAAATGGTGGTTGGGCTGGCGAGATGGCTCAGTGGTCTAAAGCACCTACTTAGAACAAGCTTAGCAAAGCACAGGGACCACGGTTCAATCCCCCAGCACCA